CTGGCCTGTTATGCCAAGTGATGCAAGGAAAGAGGGTATATCTGCCCCTGCTTCTAGTTATGCGTAGCATATAACCTTCCAGGGGGGCCCCATCTGTATGTCACCCCAGCCGTTCTGAGTTGGGAAGTGATCGGTGCCAGTGATTTGCGCCATTGCAGTGTGGCTCATGTGAGGTCCTGGTAGAAGATTAGAGAGGCGCCTTCAAAGGACAGTGGTGTTTTACCCTTCAGGGCTAGCATAATCTGGGCTTTATCCTGAGCGGTGGCACAGCGGAGTATGACGTCTCGCATTTGGCCTAGTTTTGCCGTGGGTGAGCCTGGTAGTCGAAATGTTCCCTCATTGGTTAATTTCCTGGTCACTGGGTGAGGTAAGATGGTCGCCAGCAATCGCCTAGCATAGTGTGGTAGTTCATCTGCAGTAATGTTAGCAGGGACTCCCCTTATCTTAACATGGTTGCAGCGTAGTCTGTCTTCAAAGGCAGTCAGCCTGAGCGACAAGGCTGATTGGTGCACTTGGAGCTGAGTAACTGTGTCTTTAATTGTGGTCAAGTCAGAGTTAATGCTGCTGATGTTTGTTTCCGCTTGTGTTACTCGGCCTGTGACTGCCTGTATGTCCAGCAAATAAAAGGCCTGTGACTGCCTTTTATTTGCTGGAGGTCTGCAGCCCAGACCTTGTGTATGTCTGCCAGCAGTGCCTTTAAATCAGCTTTGGTAGTTGGAGCTGTGCCATCATAGGGCTCTTGGAATGGGGCCTGATCTGTCTGCAGGTCTTGTGTGGCCCCTGCCTCATCACTCTGCCTCGTGGCTTCAATGTGTGTGGGCTGCAGTACCTCTGTGGAGGGTGTTTTGCCCTGTGCCGGTCGTTGCAGCATGGTGCCAATATCCCTGCACTCTGCCGCTGTGTGTGGTTTTTGGGACCGACGTCCCATTGCCGGCATTAGGGTTTGATGTGGGGATGAGGTGTCCGGGAGTTGCAGGCTGTATCCCACTCTGCCGATCGTGAGTAGGTCGTCCAGGCTGTAGGCTGGCGTTGCGCAGTAGGCCCCAGACCTGCGTTTTATTTTTGCCTGCCTGGGCATCTGGAAGAACGGCATCGACGGATGCAGGGACTCTCTGTGAGGTAGGTCAGCCGGGTTGCGTCGCTTGATGGGGTAGGATGTCTGCGATTTTCGATGGGTTTCAAGCAAGTTGCGGGGAGCTGGCTGAGATGGCGTCTACCCTCGTTGGCCGCAAGCTCCGCCCCCCCAGATCTAAATTTTTTAATCTTTCTTCGTAACTAAAATGCTCCATTCCTTTTATCAATTTTGTAGCTCGTCTGCACTTTTCCTTGTGCCATGATATCTTTCTTTAGAACAGGTGCCCAAAATTGCACAGCTGTTTTGGTAGCACAAGGGGGAACTACATGCTATTAGGCAGGTGGTATTAATATTGTTGCTGATCACAATTTCTTTACCAATATCAGATCACTAAAAAAGAGCCCTGCACCTTACATTACACGCTAAGGTATTTGAGATCACTATTTTGATAAAAAGAAGAAATAATAGACACATTAACCAAAACCTCAGAGACTAAGCAAAACCAACACAAAAATTACTTTTCAAAGTAATTGAAAACACTTTTCTAACAACTAATTTAATTATTGTGTTAGTGCATGAACAGAATAAAAAACAAAAATACTTCCCATGACATGATGGCATGTTCAAAACAAAACACAACTAATGAGTCCTTGTTAGATCAAATAAAATGGAAATAAGCACTGTAACTAAAACATAACATAGCACAATCAATAACTTAAAAAATATATATATTCACAATACATGTAGTGTCCATTGTTCATACCTTAAAGAAACAAACACACTGCAATGTATATATGGAGCATAAATAATACTAGTATCACTAAGGGACAGCTGGCAAATTGTGGCCTGGGGTGCAAAAACTATTTAGTGGTCCAATTTAGTGGCAATTTTATCAACCCTTCTGTTAACATCAGCTATAGACACAAGTACACAAACAAAATAGATTGTGTTAAAAGACATTCAAGATATTTGAATATAAAGAATTAAAGTACTATGCACTTGGTCGTTTAGATGTGAAAAGTAGTTAGAGAGCAGCCATGGGACCAATTACCTAGCACCCTTGACACTTAGGACAATGACCCAAAGCATAGAAGTAAATCAACAACAGAATGGCTTAAACAGAAGAAAATACGCCTTCTGAAGGGGCCCAGTCAGAGTCCTGACCTCAACCTGATTGAGATGCTGTGGCATGACCTTAAGAAAGCGATTCACACCAGACATCCCAAGAATATTGCTGAACTGAAACAGTTCTGTAAAGAGGAATGGTCAAGAATTACTCCTGACCATTGTGCACGTCTGATCTGCAACTACAGGAAACGTTTGGTTGAAGTTATTGCTGCCAAAGGAGGTTCAACCAGTTATTAAATCCAAGGGTTCACATACTTTTTCCACCTGCACTGTGAATGTTTACATGGTGTGTTCAATAAAAACATGGCAACATTTCATTCTTTGTGTGTTATTAGTTTAAGCAGACTATGATTGTCTATTATTGTGACTTAGATGATGATCAGATCATATTTTATGACCAATTTGTGCAGAAATCCATATCATTCCAAAGGGTTCACATATTTTTTCTTGCAACTGTATTTGGGGATAAGTCAAATGTGGGGATTCAGTTCTATATAATATTAGTTATGTATTTTTATGTGTTTTGGTGCAGTTGTAACTTAGTGATATTTTCTGTACCTGGAGATAATTGAGTTTACTACAGTTACTTAAGCCAATTATCTCCAGGATAGAGGAGAAGATTGACTGGCTGCACAGCCTAAATCTGTGGAACTGTTTTGGGCATGAAAGCCATGCTTGCAGTCGGTCAAATAGGACTTCCATCTAATTTTGAACCACTGGACCAATTTGTATGATTTTGACATATGTTTGTATTCTGCTTATGCTGGTTCAGAATATGTGAATTGCATGTATGGTTTGGAAGTTATGAATATTGTATAAAACTGTATATATGTTCCTGCCTGTGATAATTAAGTTAACCCATTGTGTACAGTTAGTATATCACAGGCAGAGGGGAGGGTTTGTGTGTCATGACTGGGAGTGTCTGATTGTATTGTATTGTGTTTGATTGGCTATTCCACAAGACCACCTGGGTGGTAACCTTGTGGGAAAAGTTGCATATAAGACAATAAACCCTCAGACTGCTGAGTTCCTGGTTTACCCTCAACATAGAGCCACGTCTCATGTGTGGGGGGGAAAGGCTGCATCTACACTGGGGATTGCTATACGCTGTATACTCCCTTGGCTATAATCACTAAGCTCTTATAAGAGCTTGTTCCAGCTTTGCTCTCTGCAGGAAGAGAGGTTTGGTCTGCAGTGCTGATGGTGTCAAGAGAAGTGCTTGGAGTCTTTGGGAAGCACTAGGAGCATCCATCAACGGAGGTACCCAGTTGGGGTGCCAGGTGATCCGTTACAACTGCCACATACACTCAGATACACACACCGACACACAGATTCACACACTTACATAAACTCAGATACACTAAAACTGGCACATACACTCAGATACACACTGACATACAGATGCACATTCTGACATACACACAATCTTACACACATACATTTCATACTTTATATATTTGCAGCAGCTCTCCAGTTAGCTTACCTTTGTGTCCAGGAGGGCAGTTGCTGATGGGAGTGAGCTGCTGCTCTTCTCTGCCTCCATGCATCCTCCAACCTTCTCCTCCCTCACAGCTCTCTTTGAAGCAGGGTGGCAGCACTTAGCATTTCTTCCCTGCCGTCTGATATCACAGGGACCAGGTCAGCTCTTAAAGGGTCGTCACTCGACCGGCTCCCTGTTTAGCTAGTTTAGAAAGTATTATTTAGCAAGTATCATGCTAAATAGTACAATATCCCGGAAATCACACACACAATCTGACACAATGTGTGTGTGATTTACGGGATATTATATATGATTTGCAGGAGTCAGGAAGCCACATTTAAAATGTGGGAGTCTCCCAGAGGCTCCTGGGGATTTGGGATGTCTGTTTATCACACAACTTTATCATGCAACTTGGAAACTCCCCTTTGTTCCACAAATGATCTGATGCATGTGGCATAAGAAGCCATGTATTAGCACCAGATCTTTGTCTCTCTCTCTCTTATAAAAGGTGGGGTGGGGGGCAGAGACCTGGGAATTTATAAGTACAGTTGTAAGTTTATGTAGAAGTTTAACGAAAATAAACAATTTTCCAAGCATGGCCAGAATTACATGTCATGTGCCTGTAGAGAATTTTAAAGTGCCCCCACCCCAAAAAAATTATTAATGAGTTTAATGAATGTAAAAACTGGGCATTGCAGGCAAAAACAAAATCTAAAAGTCTAAAAAACATATTCAAATTGGACAACTGCATATGTATAAATGTACCTATTTCTGTAATGTATTGTGTTTGAATATGTAAATATAGTGAGTGCATGCAACTGTGTAAATACATGCAAGGTTAAAAAAAATTGTTATAAGTGGATAGGGAGCACTAGCGTACATACCCCGGTCGCAGGGGTCGCAGCTGCGACCGGACCCGTCACTCCAGGGGTACCCACCGCCATGTTTTGTGGCCCTGGCCCGCGCGGCAAACAAACATGAAGCGGTCCATCGGGTGGCCCATGCTGTTAGGGCCACCCGATGGATATGGATTTTCAGGGGGCTCGGTCAGCACTGCGTTGCTTTAACAGCGCGACGGGGCCCCCGTGATAACATCAGAAAGAGCTGGGAGGAAGTGAGTGCACTGGTCACTCCTCCCAGCTGTCAGAGAGCTGTGTGGGAGGAAGGAGGAGGGAGTCCGAGTCAGAACTCAGACTCCCACCAGCCAGAGCCACCACTGGACCTCAGGGAAAGTCACTCTCCTGCCAAAGGTAGGAAACAGGAGGGTGACTTAAACATTTTGTGTATGTGTGTGTCAGTCTGTGTGTGTACTTGTGTCTGTATGTGTGTGTCTCTGTATGTATGTGTCTGTATCATACAGACACATACATAAAGAGACACACACACACACACACACATACAGACACATACATACAGAGACGCACACATACACACACACACACACATACAGACCCATACATGCAGACTGTATGTAGACTCAAGGAAGCAAGGTCAGAGTAGGACCAATCTAGGGGGGGTCTACCTTGACGTTGGCAGGCGGGCATTCCCTCTAGTGGCTATTGGAGTAACTAAATGACCTCCATTTGTTTAAATATACATAGGGATTAAGGAGAGAGTGTAGGTAACTTTTTTTCTTTGGTTTTTACTATATGTATTGAGCTGATGTGTACTGTGGTCGTTGCTGCCGCCCAGTTGTGATGGGAGTGAGCACAGGACTTTTCTTTTTGTATTTGTATGTATGTGTGTGTATGTATGTGTCTGTGTGTATGTCTGTCGGGGGTGTGTGTGTCTGTCTGTATGTATGTGTCTGTCGGGGGGTGTATGTGTGTGTGTATCTGTCTGTATGTATCTGTATGTGTGTGTGTGTGTCTGTATGTGTGTCTCTGTATGTGTCTGTGTGTATGAGTGTGTGTCTGTATGCATATGTCTGGGGGGGGCACGGATCGGGGGTGGGGGCACGGATCAGTTTTGCACCAGGTACGCCACTGATAGGGAGATTTAATTTTAAAGAGGGTGGATAATGTCAGAGTAAATTTACAAAAGGTATTAAGAAGTTTAAAAACTTCTGAGGGGGTATAGAGTGGATTTAGGGTTTTAGTGGGGTTTAATTTAGTATTGGAATGGATACATGGTGTTTTTAATTATTAAGAGGAGTAAAAGGGTTATTATAACTTGTTTCTCATACGGTACATTTTTCTCTTTATTATGCCAGATTGGGCACTATTGAACATGTCTAGCCCCTTATTTAATAAATAAAAAATGCTGGGTGAAGTCCTCTTCCCTCATTTCCACTCCCTATTTGACTTCATACATGACATCTGTGAAGGATCCTGTTATCTATGTAGTACCGATCCTTGCAGCTTCTCCCGAACTCCCAGTAGAATAATAACGAAGTAGTGATTATAGCTCCCAATTCCCCCAAACATGAGTCGCGACTTCAGGAAGGGGTAAAACGATCTGATTTATTGATGGCCAAACTCAGCCTTTTATGACGGTCTCCCAGCAAGGAAAAACTTCCCCTAGCACGCACTGATGGCAGATGTAATTTTTGCAGAATTGACATTTGGCAGATCGGAACAGAGGTAAGTCATGTGTGCAGGGGATGCAAATAGCCTTTGGCACAAAACTGCAAGTATCTCAGTATATTCAGCATTTCAAACAGAAACGCTGCACATACAGACTCCTACCACATTGACCATTTGTAAAAGCAGAAGTAGCCACAGTGACTGGACTAACCACTTAAATCTAGACTTTTAGGTTTTTTTTTTGTGTGTGTTTTTTTTTAGGTTTAGGCCTTGAGTGCTTAAATTTGGGACTAAGGAAATATATTATTTAGGTTTTGCGAGAAGTTAAATTTAGGGTTAGGGAAAAAGGGGTTGCTTAGGATACAGGTATCACTGTATGTAGCGTATGGCCATGAGCTGCCCTGGGACTTGAATTATGTGTAACCTGTATTCGTCTATTTGCTAAATGTCTATGCAGTAAGGGAATGCATTCGTGTAAAATAGCTAAGTTCTATGTGTAAAATGTATTGGATTCGTCTGAATGTTAGGTAGTTTCATTCCCTTAGTTTGTGCGAATGAAACTACCGAACAGTCAGACCTCCCCTGTGTGAAGTGTGCCTTCAATTACCCGTTGCAACATTGTTGCGAACGGGTAATTGACAAGCTGTGGAGCAATCCTTTGTTCTCAGGGGTGGCCGCCATTCGAGAAACGAACACTTGGCGGCGGCCGTCCTTAACCTCCCGAACAGCGGTGTTTTGCTGTTGAGTGTCTGGAACTCAAAACAGACACTCGACTAGGCGAACACCGCTGAGACCTCCATCAGCCCGGTCCGTTCGGTTCCAAACTACCGAACGGCCCCTCGTTCGGTAGGCATAATCAACCGAACGAGGGTATTCAGGAGAACCCTCCCAAGCCTCTATAGCTGGAGGCTTTCAGGTACTTCATTCGCCTTTTCCAGGACCGACCGCAGGGCCCAATCGCATGGAGATCAATTCGGCTAGTTCATCCAGCACGGTCGGTCATTTTATTCCCTCCAGGAAATTCCCGAACCCCTGGTCTGATCTGGGTGATTTTTGGATATGTTGTTCACCCAGATCAGGGCTACCAGGGGATGTATAATTTAAAGTGGTACCCCTAGGTTCAGGGGTACATCCAGAAACAGGGGGAATTGCTGTACTGGATAAGGTGATTATGATGCCGGCTGAGGGGAGGAGATGTGTGGGAGGTTACCGGGACAAGATTGGCTACTGTATTAATGAATGGAAATCCCTCCCTTGCATGGGAGCATGCTATATAAGGCACTGTGGAATAAAGGTTGTCAGTTCTGCTCCTGATGCTGTGTGTCATCTGGTCATTGGGATTGCTGTGGGGATACTATTGGATTATTTTGCCTGCTGGAAACTTTGCCTGTGGATTTATAATTTACTTGTTCCTGAGCCTCACTGGGATCTTAAGCGGAGATAACCTGGGGAATATTGTATCTCCGCTACACTGGATCTTCGTAGAATCACCCTTCTAATATAGATAGACGAACTGCAAGAGCTGTTATACCAGTGGTTCCCAAACTGTGTGCTGCAGTGCCCCAGGTCACACAGGGGTGCCGTGAGATATTTGCTTCACTGTGCCTCACTCTCCCCTATTGGCTCTTCAGGACCAGAGGGGAGATCAGAGATCTCCCTCTCTGGCCCGATAGCACTTTGCTGACAGCCGGCAGGAAATGAGGGAGAGAGGACACGGGGGGAGCTCTAACATGCAGCTCTGCCAAGTTCTCCTCTCGCGCGCTTGGAGCGTTGTCGCGATTACCACAGCAATGCTCCAAATTTCGTGTGAGTGAACTCTAGCAGCTTTTGAGTCTGCTAGAGTTCACTGTCACCACTAAGACTGCCAGGGCTTCTCCACCGGACCACCAGGGATTGCAAGAAATATCCCCCTTCCCAGTCAAAGGTAAGCAGGGAGGAGGGATATCATTTTTATTTTTAATTAAAAAAAAGAAAGAAAGTATATATTTATTAATTTTCCCTCCTACTCCCACAGACCTCACACCACACAATACCTCCCCCCCATACACACACACTACTCACCCATGGACACATACTCCTCCCCATACAAACAATTATCCCTATATACACACACTGCCCCCCCAATACATACACATTGCCCTCCCATACACATTGCCCTCCCATACACACACACACGCGCACCAACCACACACTGTACCCCTCACAAAACCTGCCCCCCAACACACACACTTTACCCCTCACACACACACTGTACCCCTCGTGCACAAATTGCCCCACATACACACACACTGCACCCCTCACACACAAACACACTACATTCTTGACAAACACAATACACCCCTGTACCACACACACTACAGCCCCTAACCAGGCAGACCCCAAGTAAGTTACTTACCCTGGGAGGGCACGACGGCACTACTGGCACCATAACCACTACAATGTAATGTAGTGGTTATTGTGCCTGGATTGTTTCTTTAAATAATCTATCAATGCCACTCCCAAGATTAGGTTCTCTGTCTGTGCCTGAACGGCAAGCATTTCTGCCGAACAGGGGCCCAGCATTTGCCACAGCGCTGTACATATATATAACCTAGAATTTTTTTTGACTTGGGCTGCATTAGAAAAAAATTGAAATACTAAGGGTGCCTTGAACCTAAAAAGTTTGGGAACCACTGTGTTTGCATCACTGTTCCCCCTGCAAAGCATTTCCTGTGTTAGAGGCTGTTGGTGGGCAAATGGGAAGTGATTCCTTCCACTTCCTGTCTAGCCTCAGAGAAGGACACTGGAGGAGCTGGGACAGCACTGAGTTTTAATCCCTTGATACATGTCCCTGCAGCTCTTCTATCAAGCTTTAGAGTCTGACTGGACTACAGAGGACACTGGCCAAGGTTCCTTATGCGTATCTCCCTTCACAAGCCCAACTAATCTCCAAAATTACACTTTATAAGTGCCCCTTGCAGGATAGGTGCCTACTCTGCCTATTGGGAAATCCAGTCCTCTATCCAAGAAAATTAAAAGATTGCAGCTACATGCACCAGAAAGAATTTAAGCAAAGTACAGTATATCTAATTCGGGCATAGTCAACCTTTCGGCACTCCAGATGTTTTGGACTACACCTTCCTTGATGCTTTGCCAGCATTATGTGTGTAAGAGCATTAGGGGGGATGTAGTCCACAACATGTGGAGTGCCAAAGGTTGCCTATCCCTGATCTACGTTAATGCCTCTTATTTCTTGAACATAGATTTCCTTTTTTTTAAAGTTACATTGTTTGGCAGCATACTATATAACATTTGTGGCTTTTTAGTAAATTGCTATGGATGATAACATCTCTGCTGTGACAAAGTATGTGAGAGTTTTATCTGCATGTTTTCCAGCCAGGGCACAGACCAGTAAGCTGGCTGGAAGTAGATCTGTGACTGAAGAAATTTAATGCTCCTACATATAGAGTGAAGGCTTTTCCTTTAATCACCAACACTTCATTATCATTTTGGTGGTGCATTATATTGTAAGGTATATTAATTCTGCCTTGAGTGTCGTAAATGCTTCGAGCCAAGGATCCTTAAATGCTAGTGCCTTAACTGCTTCTCATGCAATAACTGTCTGCTAGATTAAATTTCCTTCATAAAAACTTAGAACTTCCATAGAGGGCAAACATAAAAATTGTATGAAAATGTTTTTTTTAATTTAAAATGTGCAAATGTGAAAGCCTTAAAACCCATCTCTTCAGGAAAGCTTATGGCCTCCCAGAGTAATCTCTACCTTACATACCTGTCTCCTGCTCTCTCCTATGGGACAGTGCTTTGCTCTCTCCTCCAGCTCTGCCTCACTCCTACTTGATATTTCTTGTCCTAATGTTTCTAATACCCCGCCTCCTATAGTCTGTAAGCTCATTTGAGCAGGGTCCTCTTCAACCTATTGTTCCTGTAAGTTGTCTTGTAATTGTCCTATTCATTGTTACATCCCCCCTCTCAAAATATTGTAAAGCGCTACGGAATCTGTTGGCGCTATATAAATGATAATAATAATAATAATAAACTAACGCCAGTGCTGCACACAGTGTGTGTTTACATTAAAAAGCCTGCAGGGACAGGCTATAGACACCGGAACCACTTCATTAAGCTGCAGTGGTTCTGGGGACTATAGTGTCCCTTTAATGTGAGGTAAATTAGAGATTAGTGTCACTAATAATATACTAGATTGCCTACTTACAACCAGATGAGGATGGTGATGGGCTCTGGCTGCAGTTTGGCTCCACTGGTTTGGTGTAGAACAGGATCTCTGGAAGCTGTTTGTAACTGTGGTCACAAAATTCAATGTTCTGGGAGAAAGGGCCTGATGGTGAGTATGCCCATAAGGCCCACCCATAAGTCCACCTATATGTTCCACTCATGAGTTCACTGACAGGGAGTGGAGTGTGTAGGTGATGTGTTATGTGTTATTGTAGAGGATCTAATGTGTATGTTTATGGAATGTAGTGTATAGGGATACCAGTTTGTGTAGGTGATGCAGTGTGTTTGTGTGTAGTGGAAGCAGTGTGTGTTTGTGTATAAGGGATGTATTGTGTGTTTCTGGTTGTGTGTAAGGGATGCATTGTGTGAATCTGTGTTTGTATGCATAAGGGATGCAAGGTGTGTGTCTGTAAGTGTGTGCATGGAGAGTGTGTAAGAAATGCTGTGTGTGTGTGTTTGCATGTGTGTGTAAGGGATGCATTGTGTGTTTCTGTGTATGTGTGCAAAGGATGCATTGTCTTTGTGTGTAAGGGTTGCATTGTGTGTGTGTGTAATGGATGCATTGTGTGTTTCTCTGTGTGTAAGGGAACCATTGTGTGCTTCTGTGTATGTATAGGGATGCTTTGTGTGCGTGTGTGTGTGTGTGTGTGTGTGCGCGTAGTGTGAAAGAGCTCCCTGTCCTGCCCCCTGTCCTATAGAGCTCTTCCTTCTGTCCCTTAGAGCTCTCCCCTGCACCTTAGTGGTCTTTCCCCACCCACCTTTCCCTAGTGGTCTCTTCTCACACCCACCCACCCTCCCTGTGTTCTTCTCACACCCACGCCCTCCCTCCCTGTGTTCTTCTCTGCCCCCTACCCTCCCTGTGTTCTCCCCACCTCCCCTTCTCCTTACCCGCCCTCCTTGTGTTCTTCTCACTCCACCCCCTTGTGTTCTTCTCACTCCCCCCTGTGTTCTCATCTCCCCTTCTCCCCACCCCCTCCCTGTTTTCTTCTTACTCCCGCTCCCTGTGTTCTTTTTACTCCCCGTGTTCTTCTTGCTCCCCTCCTGTGTTTTTCTTACTCCCCACCTCCTGTGTTCTTCTTACTCCCTCCCCCCTCCCCTTCTTGTACTCCACCTCCCTCTTCTTCTTACTCCCCCCCTCCCCTCTTCTTCTTACTCCCCCCCCTCCCCTCTTCTTCTTACTCCCACCTCCCATTCTTCTTGCTCCACCTCCCCCCCTCTTCTTCTTACTTCCCTTCCCCTTCTTCTTCTCGCCCACAACCCCTTCCCCTTGCTCCCCTCCCCTTCTTCTTACCCTCTCTTTGTTGCCTCCCCCTCCCCTTCTTCTTCACTACCCTCTCCTCTTCTTCTTGCTCCCCCTCTCCTCTTCTTCTTACTCCCCCTCCTCTTCTTCTTACTCCTCCTCTTCTTCCTTTACTCCCCTCCATTTTGTTTCTTCTTGCCTCACCTCTTCTTCTTACTCCCCTTCTTCAGCGCTCCCCCTCCTCTTCTTCTTACTCCAGCCCTCTTCTTCTTACTCCCTCCCACTCCCAGGAGGTTCTACTCACCTCCCCTTCCATGGGTGTAGGCGTGGGTGGCTGACTCCTCTGTGGTCCGTGGGTGCAGAGGTTGCTGTTTCCTGTACCGGACGGACTGACTAGGAGGTACACACTTTGGTGTGCACTTCCTATCCAGGTCAAGCAGGGACCTAATGGACCCCGAAGGGGCTCAATACTTCCCTGAAGGAAGAGGTGAGAAAGAGAGGTGAGATGCTGCAACCACTGGGGAGGCTCTCACTAGGCTCAAGACTTGGCTGCATCATTTAAAGGGCTGTGAGCAGGGCGCCGAGTGCGGCCCCTCCTGTGGCACCCTAAGGGCTGCCCTGGTTAAGCCTTATAGGAATTTATACTGCCCCTGTATGTAATAATGATTTTATGGGACCCAGGAAATAAGAAGGTTAGATATTCTACTAGTTGAGGGAATGTCTAAAATGACAATGAAGGGGGAAGTTATCATCATGGGTGACTTTAATCTTCCTGATGTGAATTGGAAAACCAAAATAGTTGCTTGTGCCAGGAGCACACATATTCTAAACTCCCTACTGGGATTGTCTTTAAAACAAGTCGTTGAGGAGCCAACTTGTAAAGAGGCCATACTAGATTTAGTGTTAACAAATTGAGATTTGGTATCAGAT